AAGCTGGTTGCCATCTGAAGCTCCCCTTGCAACCATCTTTCAAAGTGAATGATTCCTGACTGAGCTTCTGTGTCAATACAAGTAATGCAACAAGGGCTCTTCAGAGCAGGTTGCACAAGATAATGTTTCCGAATGATTCCATGGCGCTGCATGGATCTTTTCCTCTTTTTTCTCCTAGTTAAATATACAGTGGTAAAGGTAAAGGTTCCCCTTGACAATTTTTGTCCAGTTGTGTTCGACTCTAGGGGGCGGTGCTCATCCCCGTTTCCAAGCCATAGAGCCAGCGTTTTGTCCGAAGACAATCTTCCGTGGTCACATGGCCACTGCGACTTAGACACTGAATGCTGTTACCTTCCCACCGAGGTGGTCCCTATTTATCTACTTGCATTTGCATGCTTTCGAACCGCTAGGTTGGCGGGAGCTGGGACAAGTGACGGGCGCTCACTCCGTCGCGTGGATTCGATCTTACGACTACTTGGTCTTCTGACCCTGCAGCACAGGCTTCTGTGGTTTAGCCCACAGCGCCACCACGTCCCCTAAATATACAGTGATTGTGATGCAAAAGCCAGGAAAGGAATGTTGAACAAGGACGGTTTGCAAGAAAGTGCAACGAGAACTATGGAAACGAATACGCTCTTGAGGCTCGGTTGCAAATCACTATCAGAAAATCTGCCTGCGCAAATGTTCGCTAGACACTAGCGCAGTGGTTCCCAACCCCAGATGGTCTTAGGTTAAAACTCCCAGAAGCCCTGGCCAATGCAGGTAGCAGTGAAGGGTTTGGGGTTTTGGTTTTTTTAGTCCAATACCATCTGGGGACTCGAGGCTGAGCCTCTGTCCCATCAACCCAACAATACTTGGTTGCCTGAACCAAGGTTCTACTGCAAGATGGCATGTTTCAGTGCTGGCTAGTTTAATATTCGTTTGGGGTTTCTGGAGGAATGCAGCCAAGACCTGGAAACCTTCAGCTGGTCTCTCTGATGATCAGCTCCGTAGTGGGATTCCATGGGGAAGTTGCAATCTTCGTGGGTGCCAACTGATTTGGAGTGGAAGTCCAAAGCAAAATAATGTGTACTACGCAAAAGTTTTTTTTAAAAAAAATATGTAATTTGTGCAAGGCTAGTATCATAATGTACTTTAGACATACCTGTAGGTTGGCTACATTTGGAACACGGTATGCTGTTCCACTTGCCCTCTCTTAAGAGGGATGTTATAGGGCTGGGGAAGGGGCAACAAAGAATACCAGAGAGATGGAGCCTTTTGTTCTCAAGTATCCCCCCATTTTTCACCGCCAAAAAAGACGATGACAGAATTTTGCAAAATTCGTGATTCCATTTAGGTTATTAGAACTCCCAATGTTGCTGCTTGTGGTATCCCTTATTATGACGATACTTTTGTAAAGGCTTTTCTGTGAACCATGTGCAGAATGCAGTGCAGACACCTGTAGGGCGGCAGGATCTGTGGGAGATCTGTTCCAAAGTCCGACCCCTGCGGATGCTGAAACACGTGGAAGAATTGAACACTACACATTGTATATCTCTGGTTCCCTCTAGTGGCCAGTTCTGGTAAGTACACTCTGGAAATACATAAAAATAGGTATTTCTGGGAGTTTTTATATTTTCATCCAGCGGATAAGTGAATCAGCAGATACCAGGGATGGGGGGTGTCCTACTGTAAAATCCTTTTCTTGAGCACACTAGGGAACCATGTGACCTTTAGAAATTGAGCCACTTCTTCAGCTCACACTGAGGTGAATGCAGCATGGCTCATTTGTTAAAAAATAAGAAGACAGGTAGAGCTGCAACTCAAATTGCGGATATGTTTCTTATAGACAACGGTTTGGCCATTGTGTGACCTGAATTTTATACCTGATTGATTGATTAAATTTATACCCCGCCCATGTAGACCAAAGTCTACTCTGCGTGGATAACAACAATAGATAGAATAAAAACAATATAATAAAATAAAAAACAACAGTACAGGAGTAGTATAGTTCAAGATGGGAAAAATATTCAAGTGATGACAGGAGGGAAGGCCTGCCTAAAGAGCCAAGTCTTAAGTTTGCTCTTGAAAACATCCAGTGAGGGAGCCAGACAGATCTCTGAAGGGAGACTGTTCCAGAGGCGAGGGGCTACTGCCAAGAAGGCCCACTTTCTTGTTCTTTCTCTCTGGGCCTCCCTCGGCGTTAGGCCCCTCAGCCACCCATCCTGGCTAGAGTGAGTAATTCAGGTAGATCTAGGTGGGAGGAGGTGTTCCGACAGATATTGAGGTCCTAAACCATTTAGGGCTTTATATGTCATCATTAACACTTTGAAATCAATGCAGAAACAAACAGGCAGCCAATGCAAGGCAGCCAGAGAAGGGGAAATATGCAAATATTTTCTCACCCGTGAGAAGTCTGGCCGCCACATTCTGCGCCATTCAAAGTTTCCACATCAATCTCAAAGGTAGCTCCACGTAGAGCGCATTACAGTAGTCTAATCTCGAGACTGCGAGCGCATGGACCAGAGTGGTGAGGGCTCCCACATTAAGATAGGGACGCAGCTGGTCAATCCGCCGGAGATGGGCCCCCACATTAAGATAGGGACACAGCTGGTCAATCCGCTGGAGATGAAAATAGGCGGAGCGGACCACCGATGCCACCTGGGTTTCTATGGTAAGCGCCAGATCCAGGTGGACCCCCAAGCTGCGAACCTCACTCTTCGGGGTGAAAGTCACCCCCCCAATAGAGGGAGTTTCCCAAACCACTGATATTGGGGCCACCCACCCTCAGGACCTCCGTCAATGCAATGGCAATATTGCTGAAAGAGATTCACATATAAATTATTTGAAACTCCCTGCAAATCCTTGTTAAAAATACTAAGGGTTCATTTTTCTACCATGAATCTTGGTCTGTGAGCCTAAGGGTATGGCTATACTTGCAGCAGGGAGCTTCATGGAGTGGCTAAATTATTTGAAACTCCCTGCAAATCCTTTTTCTACCATGAATCTTGGCCTGTGAGCCTAAAGGTATGGCTATACTTGCAGCAGGGAGCTTTGTGGAGTGGCTAAACGGCAGTATTGCAGTCAAGACTCTGCTCACCACCTGAGTTTGACCCCAATAGACCTAGGAAGCCGGCTCAAGGCTGACACAGACTTCCCTCCTTCCAAGGTCAAAACATTGACTACTCATTTCGTGGGGTGGGGTGGGCAGCAGGGGGAATGTGTAGCCTGCATAATTAAATTTAGTGCTTTAAGCGCTACGGGGGCAGTATAGAAGCAGGATGCTTTGCTTTGCTTGTGTGGGCTGCCTGGGAGCGGTTGGGCTCGATTTAAAGCATGTGGCCATTCACATGACAGAAGCGGCTCCTTCTAATCTTCAAGGGCCAGCCGAGAAAGCACCTGCAGCTGAAGCCATTGCCATGGACTCAAATGTGGGAGGTTTCTCAACCGGCTCTTTAAAAAAAAAAAAAACCTTTTTCTATAGCTCATATATCACATCAGCAAGAGTCGACATACACTAAAAAATAACAATTTTTTTTTTCTGTCAAGAGTCGACATACACTAAAAAATAACAAAGGTTTTTTTGAGTGTGTGTCTCCTGCCCTCTGCTGAGCAAGGAAAGTGATTACACTTTTGCCCATGTCCCGAAGTGTTTCACTTCATGACAGTAGCAAATTAAAAGAGGAACGCTTGCTTTTGGTTGGTTCCAGCAATCATGCATGCTAGAACCAACGATCCAACCCATAGGATTCCAGCCAGGCCCGGAGAAGTAAAAGGTCCTTAACAGGGGGCAGAAAGGTGCAGACAGGAATGCTCTGAGAGCAGGCCGGTGTGCTGTAGCAAAGACATCAGATGGCCGGCTTTAAGAGCAGCCCCAATCCTCCAGCCTCTGACTTGCACTGGTAGGATCCCTTCATCCTTTCAAATGCTCCTCCTTCCCGATGGATGTCTTTGAAGGAATGCCATGGCAACCCTCATTTGCTCAATGCATCAGCATTTTCTTCCCATGCTGAGCAGCTCCTCAGCCAGAATGGAACTGCTTTCGGGTGGGCTATGTTTATACACCATAAAAGATGCAAGTTCGGGAGGAGGCGGGCAGACTCGACTGCGAATATTTGCCATATTTAGTATGTTCTCCGACTGGCACAGGTACAAAATTGCTGTGGAATTCAGCCACAAACAGAAGAGGGGGGTTGCGTTTTCAGATCATGATGTCAAGCCCTTTCCTATCCATCATCCTTTCTGCCCAAACAACCTGGGTTTGGTTTTGTTTTTGTTTCCCCCACAAGGTCTCCTTTTCCCACACAAACAAACAAGGCATGCTCATGGTTGCTGTTAATTCATTTATGGTGTTTTAAAAAGAACTGCAGTGGGGTGTGTTTTTTTCTTGTTTTAATTTTTAAATGGTGTTTGTTGTTCCAGCGCGGAACACGGAGAAGAGGCTGCTGCAGATGTCTTCCTACCACATAGACAGGTTGCAAAAATATAATATAACCCATCTTCCATCCCAGTCCTCATTGCACCTGATTACTAAAGAACGCCCATAACCGTAACATACTGAGCTGTGTGCCCACCCACCTCTGCCCCATTTCAGGACTTAAGACACAGTGATACCATAAAGGTCAAGCTTGCAATTTCTTTGTGTAACCACCCGGGAGGTGCCCCTCTCCAACCAACCACCCACCCACCCAAAACTATGCACCTGGATTGAAGGGCACCAAACCAAGCCAACCTGAATGACACGGTCAAGCTGGACTGGTGGCTTTCCTTTTCTGCTTTAAAGGCTACAGGGTGACATTAAAATAATATTCTTCATCGGACCTAATCCCACGAAGAGATTCCCCTTGTTCACCTGTGCCAAAACCCAAGCAGAACAAAACAAATCCTGCCAAGATCAAACCACTGAATCCAGGTGACAGCCCTGTAAAGGCAGGCTCAAATTTTGCCTGCAGTGCAATCTTCTTCTGCAAGAACTTGGGGGGGGGGATTTAACAACCTGAACCACAGGACGAGCTCACGGCCTTGTTCGCTTAGGCATTTTATTATTTTTGTTCGTTTGCAACTGTACACATAACAAAACAAAAAAACAGGCATAGATCGCTGGATGCAGCCAAAGGGTGAGAGCTGCAATCCGAATTGCATCAGCGTGTATTTTTTAAATTTTTTTGCAAAGAGCTGTGTGCTCTCACCCTTCCACAAAAGTGCACTCTTTCTATTTATGGGGGAAGCACGGTGCCTTACATCTTTCTTACAGGCTATCTTTAACAGGGTTGAGCGCCTGGCCTTTGGCACTTACCAGCCAAGATAAGCCACTGCTTCTCTTGCTCTCCCTCCACCGACTTTGAATATTCAAGCACAGCTCTTGACGCCTTCCTTTGCTAGTGGTCCGCATCTCTCCTCCAGGATGTCTCCTTTGCCAGCCTCAGATAACGCTCGTGTAGGTAATGCACCTTCCCCAGAAATGCCAGAGACCTGGTGGGTTGGCCTGCTGGCCAAATTGCTCCACTCCACGGTGGGTTTGCATTCCTTCGTTTCACGCACCCAAAACACACGCACCAGCCCAGATGGGGGCTGGAGCCCTAACTTTCATCACAGGCTGCATTTCCAGCCCTTAACAAATCAGGAAGGCTGCCTGGTCCAAGTGGGGAAGGCGAGGGGTGTCCGACAGAGTCCTCCTCCGCCCCCTCTCTCAAAGGGCGAGTGGTTAGAATTCTTGCCTAGGACAGAGAATTGCAACTGGGGAGCGTGGCCGGAAGTGCATAGCGTAGGCGAAGGGTCGAGTGCCCGCCTTCCACAACATTCAACCAGAAAGCTGGGAAAGAGTGCTCAAAAATAAAAGCTTGCTTTGCACCCCAAGCACTGGGACAGGTGGGTCTAGCAAAAGAGGGGATCCTCATGAATTCCCACCTCCTTGCGGCTGTGTCTCGCTCTGCCCAAGCACCTAACAAAAGCGGGTCCCTCCAGCTTTTGACCTGGCTCAACTCTCGCCCCCAAAAGAAATTCTACCAATGAAGATCAGAGACCGCTCGGTCCTTGCCTCCTCCTTAGGCAGGGGAGAGATGTACTTCTGTTTGCCGCGGGGGACATATCGTTTCGGTGACAACGGCAGAAAGAGCCGCTTGAGCAGCTGCAGACAGAACGGGGTCCCCTCTGTGTCAAGAGCGGGAGCCTGCCCCATCCCGGCTAAAGAGTTCGACAAACGTTCATGTTGGCTTCCAAAAGAGGCAACTGGAACAAATGGAAAGTCACAAGAAGCAGTGGAGCATTTTGAGATTCAAGATGAGACACTTGGCCGATATTTTTTTAAAAAAAACAACAACAAGCAAACAAAACGTTTAATACAGTTCCAAATCCTCACAATACTGCTTGGCACCTCCGGCTTCCAGTTGGCGCGCCTTTCCACGGAAGCGCGGACGCCTTCCTCACCTGGCTAATGTACAGAGGACAAAGCAAAGTCGGGGCCAGAGAAACATGACAAATTTGTTCTGAGAGTGCTGGTCAGGGAGGTGTGTGGCAGAGACCCGGCCCAGGACAGATGATGGGTGCTCCAGTCAGAGAGGTCTCAGCAGAACTGCAAGAGAGGAAAGGATTTTTTTTTAGAGAGCTAGGGAAGAAGCCAAGTATTTCCCTGCCCCAAGCTTGGTCTGTCCTGGAGGGCAAAAGAGCTACAGGTCCACAGGAGAGAAAAAAAGATAATTCTTTTTTACTTTCTCTGCAGTGTAGTTGGTTTGTGGTTCAACAGTGATGGCAACCAAGGGGGATTCGATTGAAATCAAATTGACTGACATCTCAATTTACATTTTAAAAATTGGATTTTTTTACCATTTTAAAAAAATCATTTAAAAAAATTAAATTGGGTTTGCAATCGATTTGGATTTTTTAAATCCTCGATTTTTATCCACCCCGTTGGCAACAAAAAGATGGAACTTGTAGAGGAGAGAACTAGGTGGGAGATGGAGCTGAGAGTTTCGACTCCAAGAAGGCTAAGCTCTAGCTACCCGAATCCCAAAGGCTAATCATTTAAAATTCTTGGCTATACAGTCAGAAAAAGTTACAGACCAGCAAATAATTGGGTGCTGTCGACACTATCAATGGATTTAACCATCAATCTCAAACCCCAAGGAAAGAGGGCTGGTGGGTGTAGCAAGAAATAGGTAACACAGTCTTCAGTGCAGCCATTGAATGGCAAAGGGGGGAGTCACAACTAGAGAAGTCCTCAGTTCGGAGGTTGGTGATGGTTTGTATGCACAGCGCTACAGGTGCTGCCTGCTGCCGTTTCCTGCTTCCTCGGCTGGATCCCCCACTCACCAGCCGGTGCACGCTCCTCTCCTCCTCGTCTCTGGCGGGCGCATGGGCTTCTCTGTCCCACCTCTTTGGCTGATTGCCCATTCAGATGAGGAGGCAGGACAGGCAACCCCGGAGTCCTGCCAGAGACAGGTTGAATAGCCAGAGAGGAGGATGAGGAGGAGAGGTGTGTGTGCCAGCTGGTGCGTGGGGGATCCAGCCGGGGGAGGCAGGGGGAAGGAAATGCGCAGCATCTGTAGAGTCATGTGTATGAAATGGCACGAACCTCCGAATCGAGGTTCGTGCCCATATCTAGTCACAACTGCTGTTCACGCTGTTTGTGAACCTGTGACCTGTTTGGTATTCTGGCAACGAGTCGTTCGCCTTCTGAAGCTTTCTGAAAAATGCCAATCATGCCGGGAATCTCTTTGCGGCAGCCCCAAAGTGCCGAGAGGTTTTCAATGGGCAAATCATAAATATGGCAGAAGAACGTCATCTGGCCAATTGAAATCATCCTCTGTTGCACGGGCTGGCAAGTGAAATAATAAAACAACAACAACTGAGATGCTTTAAGAGAAGTCAGAACAGATTGCCATAAAATCCATATAAGTTGGAAATCTTATTCTGCACAAAATGCAAGCTTTTGGCCAGGGTACAAAACTCTGCATTTTAACCTACACAGACCAGCAGGGTTTAGGCATCTGTTTCTCGAGAGTGAAAGGGGGTGTTCTCAAAGGCAAATTCTCAAAGGCAAATTACAACACAGTCTCTTAGTTTATAAAATGGAATGAGGACTTAAACCTTCCCAGTGGCCAACAGGACATCTTCGGGCAGACTTCATCATACCTCTTTGGGACCCCTTGTTTTATTCCAAATGGACCAACACGACCCCTCTCTCCAAATCGGCCAAAGGTATTTCAGTCTTGAAGCAGGGCCTACGGCACCCCTTTCACTGGCCCAGAGTCAAATCCACACTACCTTTTGCAACTAATGCAAGCTTTACAAATAGTACCACAATTCTTTTTTTCCCTGCTGATTTTAAAAATAGTAGCAACAGAACTGTTAGCTCAGTGGCTAAGGTCTCTGGCTGCGGAGCCAGAGGTTGGGGGTTCAATTCCCCACTGTGTCTTCTTGGTAGGGACTGGATGATCCATAGGGTCCCTTTTCCAGCTCTGCCATTTGGAGGTTATTATTATTAAACCCTGCAAAAAGAACCACAGAGGGTGGCTGCTTTTGCTGAGAAATGGCTGCAGGGAAGGGCAGCTTAACCTTTTCCCTTGTCTGCTGCCCTCCATGGCTACTTTATGCTTTGCAGGCAGGGAAGAAGGCAAATTTGGGTAGACAAATGGCTAGCAGGAAAAGGGTTCGACGCCTTGATACTCCGCCCCCCTCCAATCAACCTCACAGACAGCTCAGGAAGAAGAATTGACAGTACTATGGTATTGCCCAGAGTTTGACCCTTTGACCGAAAGGGGTCAGGTAACACTTGCCTTCCAGCGATTCCCACACTCGTTGCACACCACAAAAGTGGTCATGGGCTCATCTGAACTGCGGGTCTGCACCTGCGTGGGAGAGACAAAACATCTCAGGAGGAGCACAAACAGGGGCCAACTAGCCATCTTTCCATATCACCCTTCTGTCCTATGCACTCACTTAGTTCCAGTGGCCAAGACGGGGCATCTAAACCTCACCCACACGCTTTCATCCACTACCACCGCCATCTTTACACATGGATGATGTTTCTTTCCTTTTTGTCTCCTCTAAAGCATGCTGTGAATCAGATGCACTGGACATTTCCAAGTTCTACATTGCAAAAGTGAAAGAGAGGACTGTTTGGTAAAATCCTAATTTTTCCGCTTAATCATGTGCCGCTGTCATCTTTCTCCCAAATAAAAATGTTTTAGGCCTTTTGTTTTCCCCCTGCATAGATAAGGCGTATCTACTCTTGGATCATTCTCGTTGCCCTTTGGTGTCTTCTCCAGATCGAGCAAACCCTACCAGAAGAGGGGTGAGCAGAACCACATGCCATATTCCAAAGGCATCTGAACCCTTTAAAGCCGAGTTCTCTGCAGAAGAGCGCATTCATAAACAACGTTGAACTCTCCCCGTGATTTTCTCACAATGGCGATTTCTGACAAATGTGCCACCTGGAAAAATCCACCCTATTCTTAGAAAGCAGATAATTAAATTTTTAACATGGCCAATTTCTAGTGTATGTTAATCCTGAGGAAGGACAAAGACCAGCTTCTTTTGCAAACTGACTCTTTGCAGGAACAGGTGTTTTAGCACAGAGTTAAAGGCTGACTAAACAGAAACTACTGTAGGACCCCTCTATCCACGGGATCAGTATCCACTGATTCATTTATCTGCTGCATGAAAACACTAAAAACACCCAGCATGTATTTACCAGAACTTGCCACTAGAGGGGAGAAGAGACCATTCGATGTACAGCACTCCATGCTTCTGCATTTTTCGCCATCTGGGGGTGGGGGG